CCCGCCGGCCTCCGGCCTCGCCCCCCTGGACGGCTGCGGAAGACGCCTCCCTTCCCCCGGCCGCCTCCTGCGAACCGCCCTGGCTGCCGCCGCCTCGGCCTCCGCCTCCTCCTCCTGCCCGGGCGCCCGGGGCTGCCAGAGGCGCGAGCGGCCAAGTGGGAAGTGCGCCCCCGGGAGAGCCCCGGAGCCGCCCTGCCTGGAGCCTGCTGGCGGGGGGGCGGAGGAGGGAGTCCCGAGCGGGGGGTTTTGTGCTCCAGGTCAGGAACACGGCTGGAGTCCCCCCTCCCCGGACCCAGGCGGGGCCCTCGTGCACCGGAGAATCCCCAGCCCAGGCTCACCGGGGACAGGAGTGTTGCCTGCAGCTGAGCCCGGAGGGAGAGGAGGAAAGGAGCCCTGCAGGGGCCCAGAGGCACTCTGTGCGGGTGTGTCGCGGTCACAGGCAGTGCTCCCTCTAAGCTGGGTGAGTGTGAGCTAGCTCTCAGTTTTTTAGCCTCCGGCTCACACATTCTGGCCTTCGCTCAGGAAGGGGTGGCTAATCGCTCGCCCACCACTCTACGGCCCGTAGCTCACAAAGTGGAGTTTTTGCTCGCAAGACTCCGCAGCATAGAGGGAGCACTGGTCACAGGTTGGTTTCATGGCTGCTGACATTTGCAAGCAGACTTCTGGGTTCGGTTGGCAAGGACAGACGAGGGGAGGGTCCCGTGGCAGCCTCAGGTGCAGGCGAGGCGAGGCGGGCCAATCTGGAGAGCCAATGAAACACTTGGAAGCCACATCACAGCCGGTTGTGGTCGGCACACAGCCACCCCTGGCTCAGTGCAGATACACACTGGCCTATGTGACAACTGCTGTGGAGGGTGGGTGGGCTTGCCCCTCCTTACTGTGGCAGTCACACATACCCACTGCACGCTGGCACTTCCCTTTCACTTAATATGCCCTCCCTAGGACCTGGGTGGCACGTGGACCTGAGTGTCCCCACGGATAGCAGGGGGAGTCACTCACTGCCCGCTCTTTGAACGGGACCTCAGTCCCTCAGGTGGTACAACACAGTGGCTACAGCAATGCACTGTGATGCTCACATTTCACCCTTGCCGTGACCTCTGTGGGTGGGTGGGTGGGTAGCCTTCTGCGAGCCACTCTCTTGGCCTTGGAGCGCTTCTAGCCGCAGGTGGCCTTCCTTAGGAGGCTGTCGTAAATAATGTGACTGTTCGGAATGACTCCAGATGGTCAGATCCCCAGACGGGAGTGTGTCTGTGAAGGCTCAGGCTGAAATGGTGGGCAAGCAGCACCAACTGGAAGCACTTCAATCATCTGGGACATCAAAATGAGTCCTCCGGTCGTCTCAGAACTGGCTCTGGTTGGCGCAGGAGGAGAATCCTTGAGACCAGCCAGACTCTTCTGCCTGGCTCAGTTTGCGACTGGAGAGACAGATCGTATTTCTGGGGGAGTTGATAGTACCTGTGCAGTGGCTCCATGCAGCGTATAGGGGGGTTTCAAAACTTGGTGCCCTCTTCTTTCCGTAGAATGCCTGCTGCAGATGGTTTGACCTATCTCTGGAAATAACTTCCAGGTCACGCTTGGGTTCATTACCTGAGAGTCCAGGCCTAAGAGAGGGTTTTCAGTGTTTTCATTTGCCATACAGGGCAATCAGGTGATTATACGGTTTCTTTGGGAGTGTCTGGCTCATTCTGCCACCGTACTTTGTGCAGTATTTAGATAGCAACAGATATTTCAACCTGAGCCCATTTGGCATGATTTCTAGCTTGCTTGCACTTAGATAATGTTATCTCTCTGTGTCTACACAAGGGTTGTTTCATGACGTTGATGGATTTCAGCTTCATACAGCTAAATTCAGTGCCTTCCACAAGGACAATAATTAATAATAGTTATCGTATGGCATTGCATGTAGGATAGCCAGGAGATCCTAAGATTGTCTGGCAGGCAGAAGCTCTAGCTCTTTTAGCATTATGCACCATTAGGTGGTGAGCTAGACTTGTTTTTAAGGTAAGAGATGATTCAGAGGTGGTTTGCCATTGCCTGCCTCTGCGTTGCGGCCCTGGTATTCCTTGGTTTCCCCCACCACCACCTTTCCAAATACTGGCCGAGGCTGACACTGCCCAGCTTCCGGGATCTGATGGGATCTGGCTAGCCTGGCCTGTGCAGGACAAATTCTACCTGAGGGATAGCTGTGGAAACCAGGCCTTCTGAGCTTCCTTTGTAAGGACGCCCCATGGCCCATCCGCTCTATGTAGCTACAGGTAGAGAGATCTCTCTGCCTATCCAATGTACGTGAAGTGAGTTCTTGCTTGGAAAAGAGAACACCACAGAAAAATTGGTAGGTGCCACAGAACTCTTGGTAGATTTGGGCTGTGGGGGGTTAGTTATCCTTCTGAAACTGTCTTCTCATGCAGTGGAAGTCTGTATGAGCAGAATAGTTCAGTGTGCGTTGTCGTACACATGCTGGTCTGAACCTTCAACCCAGTGAGCACCACGCGGACAGGCAAAACCAGTTCTAGGATCTCACTCATGGGGCTGTAAAATACCGTTTTCACCCTTCTCAGTCCACTGGGTCCAAGGCAGTCGTGACTCAGTTATTGCTGAGCCGATCAGGGAATCTGTAGGAAAGTGTTAATGCCGGCTGACGGGGCCCCGGAATACCAACTTGCCACCTTTAAAAATGGAATCACTGGGCCACATTTCAGCTCCTCGAATATTCTGAAAAGACAACCTGCATGTTCATTACTACATGGATTGAAATGACAAGAGGGGGGGGGGGGGGGAGTCATGGAGGACTCGAACGTGAAGCTCTCCTTTGGATTTCCGGCTCAGGCTCCTGCTTGGAGATTCTTCTGGGCAGGCTTCGGGGTCTTCGCTGCAGAGACTGACTTGCTGTTGTGTTCTCCTGTGGTAGTGAAGACTCTGACCCGGACAGCCCCGGCTAGCCCCGTCTCCTCACATCTTGGAAGCTACGCGGGGTCAGCCCTGATGAACAGTTGGGTGGGAGAACCGCAAGGAAGCCCAGGGTCGCTACACGGAGGCGGAGGTGGCCACGCGCGCACACCAAGTCACCCACTTCCAGTCCACTCTCCAACTGGGCTGCTTGCCAGAGGCTGTCTTGTGCCTCGAGAGCCCTGTGGGGTCGCAACCTGATGGCCCTCTCCGCCACCAGTGGAGGCACTGAAGTCTTGGCCCCTGGAGTCCCCAGAACCGGAGAGAGTGGCCCCTCCGCGGCTGCCTTGCTTGTGATACCATTCGTGATTCTCATCTAGAAGGCCCCAGACTCAGACACACACACACACCCCCGGCGTTTCCAGTGAAAGGATTTAAGGAAGCAGGTGTAGGAGACGACTGTCCTCTACCTGAAACCCTGGAGATCAATTGCTAGAACAGGCAATGGTGAACAAAGTCTGGTGCAGTGGTTAGGAGCGCGGACTCTGATCTGGGAGATCCGGGATTGATTCCCCACTCCTCCGCCACATGCAGCTGCTGGTGTGACTTTGGGTCAGTCGCAAGTTCTCTCACAACTGTTCTCTCAGGAACAGTCCTCGAAAGAGCTCTCCCAGCCCCACCTACCTCACAGGGTGTCTGCTGTGGGGAGGGGAAGGGAAAGGAGATGGTAAGCCGCTCTGGGACTCCTTTGGGTAGTGAAGGGCAGGGTGTAAATCCAATCTCCTCCTCCCTCTTCTTGGATCCGTGGCCTCCCCGTCCCTTTTTACACTAGAGTATAAGGCAGTATCCTGTGAGCCATGTTTGTCTCTTGAATGTTTGGGGAGCCTCTTGTTCTCCTCCGCCTCGGACTGACAGATGGCTTTTATTTCCTCACAGTGTCAAGATGGTGGTGCTGTCCAAGGAATACGGCTATGTGGTCCTGACTGGTGCTGCCAGTTTTATTTTGGTAACGCACCTTGCAATCAATGTTGGGCGAGCACGCAAGAAGTATAATGTGGAGGTAAGTTGTGGATGCCCTGCCAGTTTTCCTACCCTTGTTGTTTTTTTAAAGAGATAGAAAACATAGTTTTTCATGACCTGAAAAGGCCAGTATCCTGGCCTCTGTCTATTGTGGAAACTGTTGTTGTTTGTAACGTTTCCTCTTTGTCCCAATCTACTCCTGAAACTGAATGTGGTGGCAGAATTCTGAGATCGTAAAACAGATGGCACCATTATAGGGTGGTGGATCACGTTTATGAATCCACTTCACTGTGACGCTCTGTAAGCCCTTTGTGGTCAGGGGCCTGCCTACCCGAGGGACCGCCTTTCCCCACAGGTTCCCCAGAGAGCACTGCGTCCAGGGCCGCAAAATCTCCTGGTTCCCCCAGGCCTTAAAGTGGCCAGGCTGGCTACGACCAGGACCAGGGCCTTTTCTGTGGCAGCCCCGTGCTGGTGGAAGGAGCTCCCCAAAGAAAGAAGCGGGGCCCTGTGGGATGCATGACAATCCCGCAGGGCCGGCAAGACGGAGCTCTTCCAGCAGGCAGTTGACTGAGGAGTCGCATTTAATCTAGCAGTCCATCAGCGACTTCAGAGCCTGCGCCCTGGAATGTAATCATTTGCATTGTGTATGTAGCACCTTATAAATGTTTTATGATTTTTAAATTTTAATCTGTTTTACCTGTTAATGTAAGCCGCCCTGAGCCTGCTTTTGGCAGGGAGGGCGGGGGTATAAATCTAATCAAGTAAATTAGAAAAGCAGCATAGTCAGGAGCAGATAGAATTAGGGTCTTTCTCCCTGGTGTGGCGGGGGGTGAGGGCCAGGGCTGTTCCTGGTAGGAAGGTTGTTACGCGTGTGAGGATGAGGAAAGGTATACTCCCTCGCATGCAGAAACGGTATACCCATCCACTCCATTCTGCTGCCAGTATAGGCAAGACCTTAATGCAAATCTGTGCAGTGATCGCTGCTGGAAGTCAGGCTTTGTGGTGGCACTAGAATCACATTACCCTGGAGCCTTCCTCCTCCCCCCCCCCCCCCCCAGTAGAATTAAAGAGACACCACAGTGCCCTTCTGGGAAGAGAGATTCTGACACACATTTTAATGCCTCCTCCAGGACTAAACCTTAATCTGAGTCTCCCCTCACCCCCAGAACCTTGCTTTTAGCTCTTATGTCTGCAGGAAAAGCGTGTTGGCAATTCAACATCAGTAATTTAGAAATGAGAAAGTTGGGCGGGTGGCCTGCTAAACCAGGGTGGTGTGGTGGATAGTGTCATTTCTGCAGTAGGGGAATTCCCCTCATTGACGTTTTTAAAATTGTGCATTACGTGAAAATGTCACATAACGTGCAGTTTTTAAAACATCAGTGTGGGGAATTTCACTGTTGTGGAAACTGTCCCTGTCTGGGAGGACGGTTCCGATCCCCTGCCTTCCATGCAAGCTTGGTGGGTGATCCGGGCCAGTCGCTGTCTCGTGGCTTAAGCCACTTCACAGGGTGGTGTTGGTTGCGAGGAGAGGACAATATTGTAAGCTGTTATTTGTCCCCACTGGGAAGAGAACAGGGTATACTTTTTTTAATGAGGTAGGGAAACGAATTTGTTAACTGGCACGGGGTGTAAGCTACTGGGAAAATCTTCTGGGTTGCTCCCGTGTGGTGTAGTGGTCAAGAGCGGCGGACCCTGATCTGGACAACTGGGTTTGATTCCCAACTGTTCCACTTGATGTCAGCTGGGTGACCTTGGGTCAGTCACAGTTCTCTCAGAGCTGTTCTCTCAAGAGCAGTTTCTGTCAGAGCTCTCTCAGCCCTGCCCACCTCACAGGTTGTCTGTTGTGGGGAGGGGGAAGGGAAAAGAGTTTGTAAGCCACTCTGAGACTCCGAGTGAAGGGCAAGGGGAATAAAATCCAACTCTTCTTCTTTTACCGGGGCTTTGGCAGGAGAACTTTCTTGCAGTACCACCAGAATGCTACCCAAAATCTATTGCCTCTCTGGGGATCCTCACTGGTGAAGCCCTGGTAATAAAAGCCCTGAGATGAACTAGGTCTGTATTTGGAACCTGGACGGGTTGGTTATCTGTCTGCCATTGGAGATTCCTTACTAGATATTGTGGTTACCTCTTGGTTGCTACAGCTCTTCCCTGCCCACAAGCTGTTGGGGTTGGGAGAGCATCCCCCTCCCCGTGAACGTGGACAGAGACATCATGTCTCCACCTGAGGGACCCCCCCCCCGCGCCACCCGCGGTTTAGCCACAGCAATTTGCACAGATTTTTTTCCTGCTGATGGCCAAACTGGATAGCTATAACAACTCAGTGAAACCTCCATGTTCAGAGGCAGTGCATCTCTGAATGCCATCTGCTGGAGTATGGGGGTGGGGAGGGGGGAAGAGACTGCCGTTGCCGCTGGCCTGTTTGTAAACTTCCCAGAGGGCTTGGAATTAGGATGTTTGACTAGATGACACAACCCCTCCCCCATATATCCCAGCAACACCAATTCTGCATGTGACTGGCCCTAATGTTGTAGCGTTGTGAGGAATTTGGGAGCAAATTGGGCTGTTGTAAACACTCCCTGTTGGCAGTAAGGACATGTTTGCAAATCCACAAGCCTGCCAAGGGTAGACCACTTCTGCCAGTGTAGTCCTTGGTTGCTGGCACTCTGTGCATGTCTCTGGGAGCAGCCAAGCCCTGGCCTGGAACTGGAGGGGGGGCGGGATGGGCTTCCGGGGGTGTCTTCTGGGAAACGAGGGCGGCTTTCTAAGGCAGTGCCGGCCTCCGGGCTGCAGCTGGGCCTCGGGCCAAAGGGTGTGTCTGTGGCTTCCATGCCTGTGAGTCAGACGCCTGCCTGACGGGTTTGAGCAGAACCAGCAGGGCAGAGTTCTCAAGCTGTGGGCCAGGCCGAGGAAAGGGTGGCGTGCCTCCGCTGCAAGGCGGGCCGGTCCGGGCTCCCCTCAGCTTCCCCGCGAGAAGCTTCCTCACACAGAGGCTGCCGTCCGTCACACACCGACTGAGTCGTCCACTTTCAGCCCACTTCCCAACTGGACTCTTACGGTGTGAACGGGCAGAATCCAGTGGGACAGCGCACTGAAAGTGGATTACTTAGTGTGTAAGAGACCGCAGCCGCCAGGGTGTGGCAAATAAGCGTCCCGGCTAAATTCACCATGACTGATGAACCGAAGTGAAGGGGTCCTTGTGGGACACGGTCTTCTTTTTAGGGTCCTTGTGGGACACGTCTTCTTTTTCGGGTCTGGAGGGTTTAGGCTTCTGTTTCCCCCTGCAGGGCGATGTGTGCGCCTCCTTTGGGATGGTGAGGGAAGACTCCCTCCTCAAGCTGTGTTCAGGGCGCCATGAGGGTTCCTGGCGCTCTCAGCCTCTCCTCAAAGAGGCACCTCCTGCGCCTGTGGCAGGGTGGGCAAGCGTCTTTTCTCGTGTACAAATCGGGCAAGGCAGAGGTCAAAGGCGGAAGGTCAGCAGGAGGCTGCAGACCTGGCTGATCACAGGCCAGCCGGCACTCTTCAGATGATTAAATGAGAGGACGAAATTTGCATTTGCTAATTTACGTTCCGGGATGCAGACTGACACACCACTACTATAAATTAAATAGAAATACGGCTCATCCTACGGCCATCTCTATCTCTGTAGGATAGTGAGAGCCAGTGTGGCGTAGTGGAAAGAGGGGGGGGACCCTGGGTGACCTGGGTTCAAATGCACACTTGTACCGTGGAAGGTTACTGGTTGACTTTGGGCCTATTGCAGACTCTCAGCCTGGCCTGCCTCACAGGGCTGTTGCTGTGTGAAAATGGAGGAGGGGCTAAAAGCCGCTTTGAGTCCACACTGGGGAGAAAAGCAGTATATAAGTAAAAACAAATGCCTTCTATCCATGGATTGATTGTTGATGGGGAAACTTCTAAAGGCCCTTCCTGCTCTCTTTTGTCTAGTTCACTTCAGCCTGGTTCCCTTGAAAAGCTCTCCCTCTAACTGCAGGGAATTCTGGGTCCTCTGTGGATCCTTGGGAGTAAACGGCTATTTCAGTCAGTTTTGTTGGACAGAAGCAGAATCGGGACATTTTAGAAGTTCTAGAGGGCAGACCTCCCCCAAAAGGGGAAGGAAAGAAAGAAAGAAAGAGGAGCGGCCTCTGAAAAAAAGGAGACATTTGGCTGCCATACGTGACGTGGAGTGAGAAAGCAACTAGTTGAGACTTGGGGGCAATCATGCTTGATAAAGGGAAGGGATCCCGGAATGGTGGGGGATGTGTGCACCTTTCCGCTAAGGATGCCAAAATGCCTTCCTTATAGTAGAGTTAATAAGCAGCGTGGATTTACACTCAGGAATTTCCTGCCTTCACAGCAGGGAAGTAGACAAGATGTTTCTGTACTGTAATGTAATCTAGACCAAAATTTCAGCCAGTTCACAAGCTCTTTTTGAAGACCATTTGGTCCCAGCAAAGAAGGCTTTTGTGAGCCTTGTATAGTATGCTGGCTCTTTGTCAGTATATTCTTGGGGTATTCAGTACTAAGAATGGGTATGCACTGCATTTTTGTGGTTCAGTTCGTAGTTTGTGGGTGAACCATGAACTGATACATTGGTTCGTGAACCCAACCAGTTTGTATTGATTTGTGACTTCTGGTTTCTGCTCCCCATTGCTTTTTGCAGGGAGCGGAAAGCAGGGGTTTAAATGGTTTGGAGTCATTTAAACCAAACAGCTGAGTGGCGGGGAGCAGAAAGCAGGGATTTAAATGGTTCCAAGCCATTTAAACCCCTGCTTTCTGCTCCCCAACTTTCAGCTTTTTTTTTTGTGAAGATGAGAAAGCAGGGTAATAACACCTGCTTTCTTTCTCTTCATAACTGCCACAGACTGCCGTATAATTCATGGACGTTTGTGGTGTCTCTTCAGTTTGTGAACATTACTTTGCAAACCACAAACCGGCCAAAATTCGTGACAGGTTCGTGAGCACCTTGCCTGTCCCTATTCAGTGCAGCTTGTGGCTTGATCTTCATTTGGGAAGGGCTGTGACTCTGTGGTGGAACACTTGCTCTGTGTGCGGAAGGTCCCAGGTTCAATCCCTGACATCTCCAGTTTAAAGAAGAATCAGGTCGCAGCTGATATGAAAGATCTCCCTCTGAGACTGCGGAGGGCCAGTCAGAGGTGGCAATACTGTGATAGACCCATGATCTGTCTCGACATAAAGCAGCTTTTTTGTGTTCATGTGAACATGCATCCATCTTAAGTCTTAAACCCTCACCCTAACCTTTGCCATGCAACTGCATTTCAGGCTTTGCTCTCTTGGAGGAAACAGCATGAAATCCCCCCCCCCCCGGTCCAGGAATAAATGTAACCGTTATTTGGAAAGTACACACCTGTAACTGTAATGTATATTATAATTGTTTTCTTCAAGGATATGTTCCTAAGGTCTGTATACCAGGGAGCCAGTGGTGGCCACGTTCCCATGAGGAATAAAATGGCCTCCCCACTAGTGATGTGTGAAGCCTTCCTTCGTCTCCTCCAGCTTCACCACCATCCCCACCGAATAGGGCCCTCAAGTCTCAGCCCACTTAGGGTGCCCCCTCCTCAAGGGGCTTTCAAAGCGAAAGGCGTCCGGAGGCATCTTGCCCTCGCCTGCCTCTGCGTAGCGACCCTGGACTTCCTTGGTGGTCTCCCACCCAAACACGCGCCAGGGCCAACCAAATCAGGAAGGGGCCACCTACTAACGGTGACTCCTCTCCCTCCACAGTACCCAGTCATGTACAGCACGGACCCTGAAAATGGACATATCTTCAACTGTATCCAGAGAGCGCATCAGAACACGTGAGTGATCGTCGCTGTCATTAACTAGTAATGATTTGGTGTCAGTGGGGATGTGGTTCAGTTCTGACTTGCTGCGTTGTCCATGAGAAGGGAACCGGGAATCGCTGACGAACAGTTGTCAGCCCTCCATGATGATAAATATTTTCTCTGCTGGGTACATTTAGTGATGGGCAAACTCCCCATGATTCAATTGGAACTGATTTTGGGAAACTACATGTGTACAGTTTGATGTAGTGGTTAAGAGTGCAGACTCTAATCTGGGAGAACCAGGCTTGATTCCCCACTTCGCCACATGCAGCCAGCTGGGTGACCTTGGGCCAGTCACAGTTCTCTCAGAGCTGTTCTCTCAAGAGCAGTCCTCTCAGAGCTCTCTCAGCCCCACCTGCCTCACAGGGTGTCTGTTGTGGGGAGGGGAAGGGAAAGGAGATTGTAAGCCGCTCTGAGACTCCAAGGGAAGGGCAGGGTATAAATCCAATCTCCTCTTCTCTACATTTGCCCCTAAATTGTAGGGGGAAATGCTATAAAGAATTCCTATAAAAGCAATACATTGTGAAGAACTACTTAATAGAAGAATTGATACTCCCTCACCATGCCTAGAAGCTTATCTGGAGGGCTTTAATGGGGCCATTTGTGTCCGTCTTTGCTAGCACACAAGTTTTTTCAAGTTCAGGGAAATCAGAAGCTCTGCTTCCCACTCCCTTGGATAATTTTGTGGTTCAGAGCGATGTCTAGGTTTGAGCAGGGTGGTGTGCGGGAATCAGGAGGGTGGCGGCTGTGATTCTAGATTTACAGCATTCCAGGTCTTTGCAAACATGTCTGTCTGTGTTTCCAGGCTGGAAGTATACCCCTCTGTCCTGTTCTTTCTTGCCACAGGTGGCGCCTACTACCCAGTAAGTACAAAGCTGTGGCCAGCTTTAATGCCGCTTGTTCAGATAGGAGGCCGTATCTTTTCTTGGTTCAATACTGCTTGCTGTCAGGAAAACCAGTATGGGGCTGCAGAACCCTAGGCAACTGGTTCCCCCACACCCTCCCACTTTTTCTTAGTCAAGCTTTCATAGCAGTTCCCCGTATCCTAGGATTCCACCTGCTTGTAGAATCTGGTGTCCAACAGCCTTGTTGAACCTGTGGGCACTTCTAGAACTTCTGTGAATAGAAGAGCGTCACGCTCGGGAAGGAAGAACCTCCTGGGGGTGGTCCCGGGCCGGGAGAGATCCGGCTGTCCTCCACCAGGGCCAGGGCTTTTTCGGCCCTGGCCCCTCCCTGGGGTGGAACTCTCTGCCGGAGACCACCCCTGCCCTGTGGGATTTGTCACCTTTCTGCAGGGCACGTAAGGCAGAGATATTCCGCAAGGCATTCAGTTGGGGACAGCAACGGGACAGCACGTAATCTGGCCCTCTCGTACCCTCCATTCTCCACAACCAGGCTTGTGGAAGCTGAATTATTTCCTGCCATCTTGGAAGTGGATTGTTTTATTTGTTGATATATGTCTTATGTATTGTTAATTGTTGGTTTTGACTTAATTTATTTATTGTATACACCTTCGTTGTAAACTGCCCTGAGCCCTGCTTGCGAGGAAGGGCGGCCTAAAAAATCCAATGAAAGTTCACATCAGCTGGAAGTTCACATCAATGTCAGTCTGCATAACTCAGTTTTCTACAAGCCTCTGAAAAACCAGTAATTCAGGGGCCTTCCTGGCATGCTCAGGAAGGCGTTCCACTGCATAAGACCCATTCCACAGAGAGATCTGGAACTGGCAGATGCTGCTCTAACTTCTGTGCCAGATGGATGCTATCATAAGCCTTGACTGCAGAGTGGAGGTGTCCCAGTGGAGCATAACGTGGGGACTGCATGGGGCTGGCCCCGTCCCTTCAGAGCTGGCCTGCTTGCATTGGTTTGGGTCACAGTCCTCTGTGAGGGATGGATCCTGCATAAGAGGCACTGATGGGATAAGTTTTGGCACGCAGAACCCCCCTTCTCACCTTGGGCCAGACATATATCTACGGGGAAGTGCTGACATTTCCCATGGCCTCCCACGACCTTCCCAGAGTGAGGCTATCATATCAGCACGGGGGAAGGATAAGTTAGCAAGCAGCTTTGGCTGGACTGGCCCTGTCTGTGCTGCAGATGCCCATCCCTCAGGTTGTGCTGATTTGGGGCCATCAGGAGTCCCCCGTTGGGTCAACTCCGATCTGTTTCCTTTGCCATTCTGGTCCTTTTCAGATGTTACTGGGGGGGGGGGGGGGGGGTTATCGAGCTGAGGACACCAGTAGTTGCACTCTACCTGCCATCCTTCTGATAGGTGCAATGGTTAGTTAGTCTGACACCTTTTCAGGTGTGGTGCGTCCCAGGGTAGGTGCAGCATGTCATGTGGGTATTGGGAAGATTGTAGACAATGCACACTCTTGATATGCATGGCTGGTCGGCTCTGGATACAGGTCACTATAAAGTCTGAAAAGGCCTTCTCATGATGCTGAGCTAACCAAAATGTGGTGTTTAGCCCTTTTCCCCTCCAGTACAACATTTTGAACCCTCCTGTAATACTGGGCATGTACTCCAGTGGGGCTTGACTGCCAGGCCACAGGTCACCTCTGTGGACAACCTCAGGGCTGACATCGGGATAATTAGAATGGGGGGGGGTTGCCGACCCCACTTCTCCCCATGAGCACTCATGGTTGCTGTTTTCCTCCTCCCCAGCGTGTCGCTGCGGGGCTGGGTGCCGCGTGGATCATTGGGAGACTGCTCTTTGCCCACGGCTACTACACAGGAGGTGAGTCTTTCCGTGGGAGCGACAATCAGCCGCTGCTTCCAGGCAACTAATTCCCTTGGTTCCAGCTTGTTTTTGAACTCCACTTCCTGGTCCTTTTCTGTGTTATATGCAAGGGCTATGCAGCACAGCAACCAAATGGAGATGTGTGGGGTAGCCCTTATTTGTAAGGTAAAGGTAAAGGTTCCCTTGCTAGAAAGCCAGTCGAATCCGACTCTAGGGTTGCGGTGCTCATCTCCGTTTGAAAGCTGAAGACATTTCCGTGGTCATGTGGCTGGCATTTCCGTGGTCATGCGGCTGGCATGACTAAACACCAAGGCACACGGAACGCTGTTACCTTCTCACCGAAGTGGTACCTATTTATCTACTTGCAATTTCTTGCTTTCAAACAGCTAGGTTGGCAGGAGCTGGAACTAGAGATGGGAGCTCACTCCATTATGCGGCACACTCGGGTCTCGAACTGCTGAACTACCGATCTTCCACAGCCTGCAGTTCAGCGTCTTATTTGTACTCCTCTCTTAAATGAACCCTTCTAGATAAAAATTGCAAAAAGGGAAATTCTAACAGGGTTTTATCTGGTTTCTTTTCCAAGAGCCCTTGGCAGTACCTACTAATGAAGCTTGAGTGGCCAGAGAGTAAAGTGGGAGGGGCAATAGCTCAGTGGTAAACCATCTGCCATGCAATCGTGATGTCCCACGTTCAGTCTCTGGCATTTCCAGCTACAGTGATCCAGTAGTAGGTGACAGGCCAGACCTAGAGATGTGCGATTGTCAGAAGAAAATAAAAAGGTTTCAGTTTTGTTTTTGCATGTGGGTGGGTATTCTGTTTGTAATAATTGTTTGGATACACTATATTTTTAATATGCTAGTTGTGATAATTTCATGCCAAGTAAAAATGTCCATAGTCATATTTTATGTTCCTAAAGTAATAGAATGACTTTCAATCTAGAAAAGACAAAATAAATGCTAATGTAGCATTTTTTTCAATTTTTCCAAAAATTTCAATTTTTCCCTGGGAAAAAATTGGGTTTTTTTCCGAGCTTCAAAATTTCCGGAAATTTTACATCTCTAGCCAGACCTCTGCCAGTCAGAGTAGACAATACTGATGTTGTTAGACCAAGGGTCTGACTCAGCAGGCAGCTTCCCGTGTAAAGAAGTAGAAAATGCTGCTGGTTTATCTTGATTTTTAATTGTTTTTATACATCGGTGTATAAAACCTTCCCAGCAAACAAAATGTGAGCCCTCCTGTTTTTCTTCTTCTTCTTGCAGATCCCAAAAAGCGGAACCGAGGGGCCATTGGCTCATTTGCCCTCCTGGGCTTGGCAGGGACTTCCCTGTATGCGGCTCTGCAACACCTTGGCTGGACCAACCGTGTCTAGACCGCCTTTTGCCACTCCAGCAGCTCCCTAAGACGTTTCTTGGGCTTGGAGTCCTTCAAGACTGAAATTCACTTCTGAAGTGACTTTTGTAAAATATATATATATAAATAAAAAAACAAAATGAATGGCTGTTGGTGGTTCTGCTTTCCTTGCCGCAACTTGTTTGCCGGTGCGTTCGTGGCTCCTGGTGCCAGCCCTTTCCTGCCGCAAAGAGTTCCAGCCCCTCTCCCTGGCCAGAACTCCGAGACACAGCCATGGCCTAGCAACCTCTATTCCATTCCATCCCCCTGGACCCGGAAGAGCAACGTGGGGCACTGATCGCATTCCTCCAGGGCTCTTTTGAGCCACTCGACTGCTTTCTCCACCTGAGCCCTCCTCCGCTTACTGACGTGCAGGAGAAGGCATCGCAAAACGTTGGAGCGGTTCCTCTCGCAATCTTTAACTGGGAGGAAGCAGGAGGTATAAATCCAGGATGGTTCAGGTTTTGTTGCTCTGCAGTTAACCTGTTGTAGCTTATTAACCAGCTATGGCCCTTCACCCGGAATCCAGCTGGCGCCTTTCCCCCGGCCGAGCCATCAGCGACGGCTGCTCCATTTGGCCTGTGCCCTGATTGTGCCAGGCTTTGGATTCAGCCCTCGCTTGCTGCCAAAGGACACAGCCCACCTCCTCCAGCAGCCGGCATGTGGAATCCAACAGGGACCCTGTGCTTGTTGTTCTCGGGCTGTCAGGGAGGCTGTCCCTCTCGCTCAGTTTCTAGACAATGAAGCCTCACAGCCACTCCGCCACGACCAAAGGGCAACATCCAGGGGGGAGGAAGCCCCGCTGTCCCTCGGGGGCACAGGGCCGTAGACGTTGTTCCAAGGCAGAGGTCAGGTGGCTTCCGAGCCAGCCAAGGCTGTTTGTCCATTACCCTCCTTCTGCACGCAGCCTCCGTTGCTAAAGGGTCAGGCTGAGTTTCCATAGCATTGCCGGCAGTCCTATGCCTTAAGACAGCTGCCGTCTCACTCCCCCCCCCCCCCCCCGGCTCATAGCTCCGTGTGTTCTGGGGCAGCCCTTTGGGTGTTTGTACCCACCACCACAGAAGACATGGTTTGAAATTTGCTTAGAAAAGTGTTTCCATGGGAAAAGGCCAGAGAGGTGCCGTCCATGGGCTTGGGAGCTGCGTGGAAGGCGTGCAGTGGAGTGCGGGGGTGAGGCTCAGATGGGCGGTGTGATCCGAAACAGAGCTACGCTCAACTGAGCCCCCAGAGGTCAGTGGGCTCAAAGGTGCAACTCATTCACCCACTTACACCTACGCCACCATGTTGCAAAGTCCTAAGATATTTCTGCTGTTTTTAAAATCGGAGCTGGATATTGTTGCCAACCTCCAGGTGGGGCCTGGATGTCTCCTGCTGTTACAATTGATCTCCAGATGGCAGGGATCAGTTCCCCTGAGAAAATGGCTGCTCTAGAGGGTGGAGTCCAAGGCTCCCTCTAAGCTGTAAACAAAAATTCTACTTGGTGAGCTCCTGACATTAAAGTTGTGAGTGATTTGGCTACTGCATAAATTAGCTTGCTCTGGAGCCCCATCCTTCCTGAGCTAAGACAGACCATATTGAGGCAGACTCAACATGGGTTCTGTAAGGGAAGATCTTGTCTCACTAACCTGTTAATGTTCTTTGAGGGGGTGAACAAACATGTGGACAAGGGGGATCCAATAGATATTGTTTACCTTGACTTCCAGAAAGCTTTTGATAAAGTTCCTCATCAAAGGCTCCTAAGCAAGCTCAAAAATCATGGGATAAAAGGACAAGTCCTTTTATGGATCAAAAACTGGCTAATTAATAGAAAACAGAGTGAGTATAAATGGGCAGTTCTCCCAGTGGAGGGGGGTAAGCAGTGGGGTACCACAGGGATCAGTACTTGGTCCACTGCTTTTTAACTTGTTCATTAATGATTTGGAGTTGGGAGTAAGGAGTGAAGTGGCTAAATTTGCGGATGATACGAAGTTGTTCAGGGTGGTGAAAACCAGTGAGGATTGTGAGGCACTCCAAAGGGATCTGTCAAAGATGGGCGAGTGGGCGTCAACATGGCAAATGGGGTTCAATGTGGCCAAGTGCAAGGTGATGCACATTGGAGCCAAAAATCCTAACTATAAATACACGTTGATGGGGTCTGAACTGGCAGAGACAGATCAAGAGAGAGATCTTGGAGTTGTAGTAGATAACTCACTGAAAATGTCGAGACAGTGTGTGACTGCAATAAAGAAGGCCAATGCTATGCTGGGGATTATTAGGAAGGGTATTGAAAACAGATCAGCCAATATAATAATGCCCCTATATAAATCAATGGTGAGACCTCATTTGGAATACTGTGTGCAGTTCTGGTCACCACACCTTAAAAAGGATATTATAGCTTTGGAAAAAGTGCAGAAAAGAGCAACTCGAATGATAAAAGGGTTGGAACACTTTCCCTATGAGGAACGGTTAAGGCGCTTAGGGCTCTTTAGCTTGGAGAAACGACGACTGAGGGGTGACATGATTGAGGTTTATAAGATTATGCATGGGAAAGAGCAGGTAGAGAAAGAGGTACTTTTCTCCCTTTCTCACAATACAAGAACCCGTGGGCACTCCATGAAATTGCTGAGCGGTCGGGTTAGAACGGATAAGAGGAAGTACTTCTTCACCCAAAGAGTGATTAACACTTGGAATTCACTGCCACAGGAAGTGGTGGCGGCTACAAGCATGGACGGCTTCAAGAGGGAATTAGATAAGCATATGGAGCAGAGGTCCATCAGTGGCTATTAGCCACAAGGTATAGATAGGGACTCTGGGGCAAGTGATGCTCTGTCATCTTGGTGCTTGGGGGGGGTCAACAGTGGGAGGGCTTCTAATGTCCTGGCCCCACTGGTGGACCTCCTGATGGCACTGGTATTTCTGGCCACTGTGGGATACAGAGTGTTGGACTGGATGGGCCTTTGGCCTGATCCAACATTGGCATCTCTTATGTGTGAGCCAGGGGCTAAAAAACTGTGAGCTGGCTCACACTATCTTAGCGTAGAGGGAACCCTGGTGGAGTCTGTGGCCTTGTACCCTGCCGAGGTACCTCCCCTCCCCAAACCCCACGTCCCCCAGCCTCCCCCCCACCTCTAAGGTGTTTCTCCAGCCAGAGCGGGCAACCCTGGAGGTGGAACAGGCCCCACCCCCTGCAGTGCGCAAACAAAGAGATCCCACACCAGATCCTTTGGTTACTGCTGTGCAACCGAAAGGACAGAGATGTATGAGAGCGCCAGAGTTGCCTTGCCCTTCACGTGCGGGTCCAAGCGGATCGTCTCCCCCCCACACACCCCGCCTGCCCATGAACGGTTGTCTATTCACTACCTGCATTCAAAAAATGGAACTTAGACTGCAAAAGTAGACTGGGGGGGTGTTTCTTAGTGGTAACACTGGCAAGAGAGGGAGAATCCGTGTGCTTAGGCTTGTTCAACTTCTGCTTCAAATTTAGAAAATGTGCCCCCGCCCCATTTTAATGCTAAAAGGGGGGCCGAATGGGTATGTTTGAACGGAATGCAGTGGGGGCTGTTCCCTGAGTGACTTTAAGTAAACAGCAGATGGGAGGGGGCCTTGGGGAGGGAAGATCCGATCTGATGTTGGGAGGCCAGTCGGACTTCACCCCGGATGACCTCCACCGGGCCTTACAGGCGGTGGCTGGTTGGCTCAGACTGAGTCGGCTGAAGCTAAATCTGGCAAAGACGGGGGCTGGGGCTCCCTCTCCCGACCTTCGACGGGGCGCCTCTGGTGCCAGCATCGGACATTAGGAGTTTGGGAGTGCGCCTGGACTCCTCCTTAAGGATGGAAGCCCAGGTGGCAGCCACTGCCAGGTCGGCCTTTTACCACTTTCGGCTGACTCAGGAGTTGGTTCCCTTCCTTGACCGTGATGACCTGGCCACAGTGATCCATGCGACGGTCACCTTGAGATTGGACTACCGTAACACTCTCTACATGGGGCTGCCTTTGTCGCAAATCCGGAAGCTGCAGCTAGTGCAGAATGCAGCAGCCAGGCTGTTGATGGGCCTCTCCAGGCGGGAGCACATCTGGCCTGTGCTGAAAGCGCTGCACTGGCTGCCAATGGCATACCGAATCCGCTTCAAAGTGCTGGTTCTTACCTTTAAAGCCAGTTTGGTGTAGTGGTTAAGTGCACGGACTCTAATCTGGGAGAACCGGGTTTGATTCCCCGCTCCTCCACTTGCACCTGCTGATGTGACCTTCGGTCAGTCACAAGCTCTGGCACAGCTGTCCTTGAAAAAGAGCAGTTTGTGTCAGAGTTCTCTCAGCCCCACCCACCTCACAGGGTGTCTGTTGTGGGGAGGGGAAGGGAAAGGATTTTGTAAGCCGCTCTCAGACTCCCAAGTGAAGGGCGGGGTATAAATCCAATCTCTTCTTCTTCTTCTATATGGCCAGAGTCCGGCTTACCTAAGGGACCGCCTTTCCCCGCATGTTCTCCCAAGGGCACTACGGTCGGGGAGTCAAAATCTCCTGGATATCCCAGGCCCCAGCACCATCAAACTTGCTGTGGCCAGGGCCAGGGCGTTCTTGGTGGCGGCTCCTACCTAGTGGAACGAGCTTTCAGAGGAGATCCGGGCCCTGCGGGACCTTGCACAGTTCTGCAGGGCCTGCAAGATGGAGCTCTTCCGCCAGGCTTTTGAGTAGGAGCTGCCGCCGCCACTATACCATCATTGCTACCCCCCATTATCGCACCTCGACCACCAATTGTGTGGATATTAAATGGGGTGCAAGATGTCCCTGGATGAAGATGGGATGGTTGTGCCGCTAGGAGCTGTTGGCCTGGAATTAATCACTTTTACCAGACCCCCATCTTGCAACTACTGATTCTGTGACCTCTAGCGCACCGACACTTTAGTGTTTTGTATTGTATTGTTTTATTCTGTTTTTATCTATTTTAACTTTGGCACTCGTGCCTCTTTGTTAGCTGCCCTGAGCCTTTGGGGATGGCGGGATATAAATCCAATAAATAAATAAATAAGATTTATTTATTTATGCTTTCGACTTGTATCCTGCTCGAACCCCGAGGGGTCTCTGAGCGGCTTACAGAATTTCATTTATCTCTATCTATGGCCACATTGTCAGGGGTGGGGACTGCCCTACCGGCACCCAATGGTGGGACTCGCTGTTCTTCGCCTCGGCCCGGCTCTTCTTCTTCTTCCAGTGGACTTCGGAGTTGGCTGTTTTTTCCGGTGGGCCCATCTGGCGCATGGTTCGCATCAGCCTGGCCCCGGCTATGTAGTACTAGGGTTGCCAAGTCGTTTTCACCCCGCGGCGGGGGGCTCCCAGACGGCGTCTGTTGCATAGTTTTCCCCTCAGATGGCTGTGGCCCCGCTCCCAGCGTGCCCGGTGTCAGCACGTCACCTCCGGGTGCCCTGGGGGGACTTGGCAGCCCTATGTAGTACTCTGAAGCCTTTAACTCTTTCCACAATAGTAATGGGTGTGTACTTTCTATTAGCCATGGGGGGGGGGGGATGCAGTTTGTCTCCCCACCATGGAAATTATCTAGTGAGGAAATGGCAGAGGGTTCCGTTAACCCCACTCCTAATCTAACCTTGCCAAAAATTAATCTAAAAATTCATAAAACCATCATCTGCTTTGATATCATATCCCGCTTTCCTAGGAGAGTTGTTGTTGTTCAGTCGCACAGTCGAGTCCGACTCTCCGCGACCCCACGGACCAGATCACGCCAGGCCTTCCGGTCTTCCGCCGTCCTCTGGAGTTTGCTCAATTTCACGTTCCTGTCTATGACACTGTCCAGCCACCTCATCCTTTGCCGTCCCCGTCTTCTTCTTTGACCTTCGATCTTTCCCAGCATCCTAGGAGAGTGTTCATTTTCAAATGGCTGTTTTAAGAGCCCTTGGAGATAAATGGCAGGAGGCTAAAGGTGGCCACAGATGTGTGTAAGCGCCGCCCTTATGTCCCAGTTCTGCAAGAGGTGGGCTTATGTAGAGATCATTCAGAATTCCGCCAGGCATCCACACAGGCCTGGCCGTCCGCATGAGCCGCCGGTTCCTCTTCAGACTGGCTCCAACATTCAGGGTCAGTCGTGGGGG